AAACATGCATTTCAGCATGATCCAGCAATTTCACTCCTAGATATTTATGTAAGATAAAGGAAAGCAGATGGCCACACAAAAACTTGCACAGGTATGTTCATAGCAGGCTTATTTATATTAGCCCCTGGAAACAATCCAAAGGTCCATGTGGCAGGGAAAAGATATACACATTGTGATATATTCCCATAATTGAGTAGTAATCAGCAATAAAAAGGACAGAACAACTTCATGCAACAACCTAGGTGAATTTCCAAATCACGGTGCTTAAGATAAAAAGCCAGACACTGAAGAGTGCATACTGTATGAATCTACTGATATAAAAGTCTTGTAACTCCAAAAGCGCATCTGTAATTCCAGAAAGGAGCTTATTGCCTGGTGCCAGGTAAGGGTAGAGAGACTCACTGAAAAGTTGCAGGAGGGTTGACTAGGGTGGTGGTTATGTAACTTGCATGCGTTTGCCAAAGCTTATCAAACTGTACATTTGAAAATCTGTGTGTTTCATTGTATGTAAACTACACCTGTGGTAGGCAAAATGTTGTTCCTCGTGACCTTTGCCGTTTGGTGTTATGCTCATGAATATGTTCTGTTAGACAGATCCGAAGCATGAAACAGACTTGATGCACTCTTGCTAGCATGAAGATGGAGGGTGCCCCATGGAAACTGAGAGAAGGAACTAAATTCCAATTCAGCCCGGAAGTGGATTCCCCTACAGTCTCCAGTAAGGAGCAAAGCCCTGTCAACACCTTGATTTTGGCCTTGTATGATCCTGAGCAGAGTATCTAGTTGAGCCCACCTGGACTTCTGACCCACTGAAACTGTGAGATGATAAATGGATGTTGTTGCAAACTGCTAAGTTTGAGGTAATTTGTTACACAGCAGTAGGAAACTAACAGGATGCTCAAAGCTGATCCAAATACCAAAAAAATAACTTGACAACCAAATTAAAAATGTGATTAAAAATCATGCTTCTAAAGGAAATCAAAGAGGATATTACAGACTCTACTGAAAACAATGAAAAGAAAACTCTTCATAACATAACCTATGGGATATGGAAAAATTGTTCTCAGAGAAAAACGTATAGCTTTAAATGCCTTCACTGTTAAAAACAAAGGACAAAAGAAAGAGAAAAGAACATATTATTTTCCCTAAGATATTAGAAAAAATATAGCATGACAAGCCAAAAGAAACTATCATTGATAAAGATAAAATATGAAAATAAATTAAATATAAAAAATAACCAGGGACTTCCCTGGTGGCGCAGTGGTTAAGAGTCCACCTGGCAATGCAGGGGACACAGGTTTGAGCCCTGGTCTGGGAAGATCCCACATACCATGGAGCAACGAAGCCCGTGCGCCACAACTACTGAGCCTGCACTCTAGAGCCCTTGAGCCACAACTACTGAGCCTGTGCTCCAGAGCCCATGCTCCGCAACAAGAGAAGCCATCGCGATGAGAAGCCCGGGCAGCGCTACGAAGAGTAGCCCCTGCTCACCGCAACTAGAGGAAGCCCGTGCACAGCAACAAAGACCCAATGCAGCCAAAAATAAATAAAATAAATTAATTAATTTTAAAAAATAATGAAGAAGAACAAAAAAAGCCAAAAGCTCATTATTTGAAAAGACCACCCCCAACAACAACCAAAGAGAAATCCGTTATAAACTTGTTCATGTAGGAAAGGTAAATAACAAAAATTTAGGAATTTAAGAATGAGAAAGGGCAAATAGCTACAGATGATGTGGAGTAAAAGAATCATGAGAGAGTGCTATATGCAACACAGTGGCAACAAAATTGAAAAAATAAAGGAAATGATTTCCTAGAAAGGTATAAAATTATTAAAGCTGACTCCAAAAATAAGTTGAATTTTGATTTGACTAGTTAACATAGAAGAGCCTGAAGAGATGATTAAAGATATTGCAAATGTCACTTGGACCAAATGGATTCATATGTGAGTCTTATCTAACTTTAAAACAACAGATAACTCTAATGTTATCTGAGCTATTTTAGGCAATAGAAAAGGATAGAACACTCACCAGTTCATCTGATAAAGCCAATAAAACTTTAATACCAAATCTAATAATAATAGTAAAAAATAAAGTTATATATCCAGAAAAAAATGAAAACAGTAATTTGAAAAGATACATGTACCCCAATGTTCATAGTAGCACTATTTACAATAGCCAAGGCATGGAAACAACCCAAGTGCCCATCAACAGACAATTGACTTAAGAAGATGTGTTTTACACACACACACACACACACATACACACACACACACACACACACACACACACACACAATGGAATACTACTCAGCCATAAAAAAGAATGAAATCTTGCCATCTGTAGCAACATGGATGGACCTAGAGAATATTATGCTTAGGACCTAGAGAATATTATGCTTAGTGAAATAAGTCAGACACAGAAAGACAAATACTATATATTTCACTCATATGTGGAAATAATACAAATGAATGTATATGCAAAACAGAAACAGACTCACAGATATAGAAAACAAACATGGCTATCAAAGGGGAGAGGGAAGGGGGGAGAGACAAATTAAGGGTATGGGATTAACAGACACAAACTACTATATATAAAATACGTAAGCAACAAGGATATACAGTATAGCACAAGGAACTGTAACCATTATCTTCTAAAAACCTATGATGGAATATAATATGTAAAAATACTGAATCGCTATGCTCCTCACTTCAAACTAACACAATATTATAAATCAACTATACTTCAATTAAAAAATAAAGCTATAGATCAATCCCACATAATAAAGGCACACAGTATCTAAAAAAATATTAGCACATAGAACCCAACAATAATCAAATTGTATGAACATTAGATTTTACTCCAAGAATGTAAGGATATTCAATGTCAGGAAGTCTACTGACATAATCTATTTGTCCTCAACATATTAAAGGCCAAAATTCATATGATGCTAGAATGCTGAAAAGCCATTACTAATGAAAATTTTATGGCAAGGAGTAACAAAGACCACTTATCAAGAACAAACAGCAAATGTTATTCTAAAAAGCAAAATATGAAGACTGTTTCAAGTAAAATCAATAAGATAAGAAAAAGAAATAACTGATTAAACATTGGAAAAGAGCTAGAATCTGTCTTATTTTGAATATGATTCAATACACATAGAGACTGCCATGTAAAATTATTAGAATTTATATGAGAATTCAGTAAGGTAGCTAGATTTGAGATGAATATACACAAACCAATAGCTTTTCTCTATTCTGGTACTTAACATCAAGAACATAAGAGAAAACATTTGATTAACAATAGCAACGTATTTATAAAATGCATAGGGATAAATGTCATAATAAATTACTTACACTTATTATATTAATAAAATTTATGTATAAATTTAATGAAATTTAATGAAATAGATACTAATATATATGAGAATTTTACATGATGAATGTTTTTATTCAAATCAGTGACAAAAGATGTATTGTTTGATAAACGGTGCCTTGCGATAGGCTATTAATACTTGTAAGAATAAAATAGTTCTCATAATCTAAAAAAAAGTGAAAGCGCCCAAAGAAAAATGGGCAAAACATGTGAATAGTCAAATCTCAAAAAATAAATGCAGTAGTCAACAAGCATTTAAAAAGACGTTCAGCCTCATTAGAAATAAAAGGAATGTGATTATTGTAATGATGAAATATCACTCCATACCTACTAGATTGGCAAAGATTAAAAAACAAGGTAAAACTTATTGCTGATGTGAATGCAGGGAGAAGGGCACTCCTATATGTTGATGGTAGAAATGTTTGAAGAGTTCTAGCCTTTTTGGAAATTAAAACTAAAAAGGAAATATTCCCTTCATTCCAGCAATATCCCTCTTGAGAATCTGTCCTATAGGAATAAAAGCATCAGTATGTAATGATATAGGATATAATGGCCAAAAACCTGGAATAATAGGGAATTTTATTTAGCCATTAAAAAGACTGAAGTTATGCCAACTGACTTGGACAGAATTCTATTAGGTGTTAGTGAGTGAGAATAGTGTGTAATATCCCATTTTTGTAAAACAATGACCAAGAAAACCTTTATTTGCATATATGTGCATATGTGCGTGTACATAAATATATATTACCATACTAGGGTTACCTGATTGGGGATAATCAAGAAGGGGGCTCAAGTAGAAGGAGAGTGGGGAGCAAAGCAAAAAGAACAGAAAAGATTGTAACGTATATATGACATGACCATATTTAATATTTACATTACCATTATATATGTATTGGGTTTAAATCTTTATAATACACATTTAAAGAAAACAAAACAAAATTTAAAACAAATGACTTCAGCATTCAACTCAATAAGCAAAAAGTTAGATCAACTAAATGAACCAAAGGAAGCTAGGAAGAAGAAATGAATTGATGAAAGTAAAAACAGAAATTGATAGAACCAAAAGATGGGTCCTGACAAAAGCAATAAAATCGAGAAACTTCCTGGAAATATTATTTATGAGAGGTAAAGAGAACATACACAAACTAAGAATGGAGATATAACTACAGACTATTATGTAACTTGATACCAATACATTATCAAATCTAGGGATAACCGATTGCTTCCTAGGAAAATGTATATAACAAATATTGACTGAAGAAGAGGTAGAAAAATCTGAATAAATCAACAACCATAGATAATATTGGAAAGATTATTTAATACTACTCTCCCCAAATGCACCAGAACCCAGAAAAGATGAAAAGTTTCTGAACTCCTGGCTAATACTCTCCTTACAGCAAAATTGCATGTAATATGGATGGGTCTTAGGGCTCTTCTCCCTGTGGAAGCTGTGGGGTAGGCTGAGGGAAGTTTCGGTCTGTCTCTTATGCTGCTTGCCTCTTCGCCCTCACTCGACTCCACTCTCTAGTTTCCCGTGTGGCAGCATGTGACAAAGAGAAGCAATGGACAAAACAGCCAGAGTCACAGCCCCACCATCCTGACCGGCCCATCTAGAACAGGCCTTTACCTTGTGTCCACGTGCAGCTCACTGAGCAGTTCACTTTGCATATAGTCCCAGGACAGTTCCACCGCGCCCAGGTAGTATCTTCTGATGGCACCAAAGCTGAAAGGCAAAAGGCACAGAAAGAAGCAGGTGGAGAGCTCAATTTGCATGGCTCTGATTGCTAGAAAATGTTCGACTGGAGAAACGAAAGATTAATTCTTCTCTAAAAATATCTTTGGCTCCCAGGAGCAAAAAGGTAAATTTTGTATGATTTAGTGAAAAGTCCCAAAATTTTCTCAAAGGACTTTAGGGAACTTGACTGGCTGGAGTGACAGCAGCATTAGCGCTCAGCAGTGACGGATAGGATTGCTTCCTTTTTGGCAGTGGGAAGCAGCCACAGGAAGAACTGAGTAGGAAAAGGGAGGCTGAGCTAAAGCTTAACCCGTTCACCTCTGAAAGCAGCAGGGGCACAAGAATGCTGCTTTGCTCAGAACCTTTGAGGAAAGGAAAGAGGGGGCTGATGTTGTTGAAGATTCTGGAATCCACCTGCACCAGCAAGAGTAATATTCTAACAGTCTCCCTGCTTCCGCCCTTGCCCCTCACAGACACCAATGAATGACCTTTAAAACCATAAAGCGGATCCAGTTACTTCTTTGCCCAGAAACCTCCACTGGCTTCTGACCTCACTCAGAGTATAATCCTACATTTTGACCATGGCCTAGAGTCTTCCCCATGATCTGCATGTCCCTTCCCCCCACCTCCAAGGTTTCATCTCACTCCAGCTACTGGCCTCCTTGCTCTTCCTTAAAACACCGAGCACACCCTTGCACCTGGACCTTAGCATCTGCTGTTTCCTCTACCTGAAACCCCTTTTCCCAGATAGCCACACGTTTCCACTCCCACATCTCCTGCAAGTCTTGGCTCAAATCTCACCTCCTAATGAGCTCAAATCTGGACCAGCGCCTTGACACTGTAAGTTCTCTAGCCCCACCGGCACTACCGATCTCTCTCTTGGCTTCATTTGCTTACAGAGCACTCATAACTACCCAGCATCCACGTACCTATTTCCCTTGCATCGTTGCTACCTGATGCTTCTTAAGGTTGTTTACATTTGGCCTGAGTATAGGCTATATCTCCTTACATCAAAATATAGCCATGCTGAGCTCAAGCAGAGAACCTACTCAGTTTAATGTATATTAGGAGGCATGAGAGCCTCCCAAGGGCCTCAAAGTATAGGAGCTAATAAGAATCTTGATCAGGGTTTCTATAAGAAGTGTTATCACGGAGAGTCCACTTCTGCACGGATAGGAATGTGTTTGGGAGCCATTGGCAAGGTATTGTCCAGCTTGGAAACAATCAGGAAGAAGCCCCTTGGGTAAACATTTGCTGAGACCTTCTCTCTGCCAGGCACAAGTTTGCAGAGATAATAGCTGGCATGTAATATATTCCAGGAACTGTTCTAAGTGCTTTCTAATGCAGCAAGCATTCTTGTCTTCATTGTACAGGTGATGAAACTGAAGCACAGAGACGTTAGGCAACTTGGCCATGGTCACACAGTTTGTAAATTGTAGCATTCATACCCATTTAATTGGGCTCCAGGAGTCTTGCTCCTAACCCTTTTACTATACGTCCATGCTTCAGAGACGAATAAAATCCAGTTCCTGTCTTCTGGGAGTCATGCTGCAGCAGCGGGGACAAAAAGGTAGATACATAGTCACAATACAGAGTGATAATTCTGTCATGAGCTTTACACATTATGTGATTTAATCCTCACAATAAGACTGCAAAGTGAGTACAGATGAACCATCTGAGGGGCAGAGAGGTTAATGGTTTGCCAAAGAGCACACAACTACCCATTTGTCCTAACCAGACAGTGTCTTAGGCACTGGGTGCAGAGCAGTGAAAAAGAAACAACTGAGAAACGGTAAGCAATACCTGAAAGACAGGAAAACCTTACGTATGTTAGAAGGTGAAATAAGTACTGTGCCCAAAACGAAAGTAAGTAGGAGAAGGGGAAGGAGGGGTGTACTAGGCTGCAATTTTAAATGAGGATGGTCACGGAAGGCGTGCCTGAGGAGCAGGTGACCTGTTAACTGAAGGCGAGAAACGACTGTGATTTGGGCTGGGACGGAAGCAGTGGAGGGGCGAGCAGGGCTGGATTCACTGTGAATGTGGCGCTTCTGCTGGTTGCTGATGAACTGCGTTTGTGGGCTTTGAGAAAGAGGAGTTCAGAATAAACAGCAAGGGTTTTGCAAAGGTGGCGTTGCCGTGAACTGAGACGGAGTAACAGCGAAAGCTGTCGCTTGGGGCTGGGGCGGGAAGGTGCGCCGCGGCACGTGGTTAAAGGGCTCGGCGGGCGCTGCGGGCAGCGAGGGCTTTCCTTTCTGAGCCCGTCTCGGTCACTGGGACTGCAACGTTTCTTAAATGTCTGTCTTCTTCCAGTAGCACAGCGTCGGGCACAGAGCGGGCACTGATAAATACGTGCTCAATGTTAACATGAGCAACCACTACAAGCCCGCTTTATTTTTAGTAAAGTAAGGAGTGAAGCAGTCTTCACTGTCGAAAGGCCGCACTGCGGTCGCGCACGGGGAACCCCCTTCCAGGCGAGCTGCGAGCTAGACTACGTGCTGCGGCACAACTCCTCCGTGAGAGGCCTTCCGCGCACGCGTGTCCCGACGCGCCTGGGGGTCGGCGCCGCGGGGCTTCTGACACCGCCCTTGGCGCCTTGTGAAGCGGCTGCGCCCGGGCAAGGGGACTAGCCGCCCCGTGCCCCGCCCCGCCCCGCCCCACCTCTTCCGCCGCCGCCGTGGGAATGGAAACATCTACCCCACGTGCCGGAAGCCAGCTAGCGCCGACGGTGGCGCGCCACTCCGCGCCTTACCGAGCCGAGCCCCTACAGGTGTCATCGCGAGACGAGCTCGCCGAAATGGCCGCAGCCAGTCAAGGTAAGGACGGGCGCTCGCCGGTGGCGCCGCGAGGAGCCGACTTCCCGGGCTCCGGAAGAGACGGGCTCCGCGCCTCCCAGGCCCAGCAGTGCCCCTGGGGGGCCCGAGCGCCGCAGGGGCGGGGCGGGCGCCTGGAGCTCCTCTGTGGCCCGGCCGCTCCCGAGGTCCGGCCAAGGTCAGTGGCCGGGCTGGAGCCGGACTTGCCCTCGCTGTTGACTCCGGCCGGGCTCCTCCGCCTTCCGGCCCCGCCCCCGACAGCCTCGGCCTGGAGACATTTTGTCCCTGTTCCCGGAAGCACTCTGGCACCTTGAGACTAAGGCAGCGTCTTTGTCCCTTTGGAGTGTCTTTTCAAACACCGGGCCGGCGTCTTTCCGCGTGCAGGCCGCCTCTACTTGTGCTATTGATGGTTTTGAAAGAGTACACGTGGTATGGTTCTTGGAAATCGCCTATTTAGTCTGCGTAGTGAAGGGGAGAGTCCGTGAAAAAAAAAGCCTGTAATAAAATACACAGTGGACCACGTCTTTCAGTTGTGCTTCTTATCCTACTTCTTTGAATGCTTCAGGCTATGTTCAGTTCAGTACTGGCTCACAGAACCATTATCAAAAACTCAATTATATAAATTTAAAATTACATAAATTATGTTAAAAACAGGGTGAAAATGCTCAAAATTCATTACTTCCTTATTGTTTGCCATGTTTAGTTATTATCTGTACTCTTGAGGTTCTGGACATCTGTTGTGTCTGTGTGGTGGAAATAACGTAGCGTGATAAGCCGCGTCTCTTGCCAGCTCCGCATTCAGCGCTGTCACACGTCAGTGACGTCACACCCTGGATGTTGGTATACACTACTAGTCAGCCCTCCCCCCACCCCAGCGCGCTTGTGAAACGTTTACCTGGGGACTTCACTGGCGGTCCAGTGGTTACGCCTTCACCTTCCAGTGCAGGGGGTGCAGGTTCCATCCCCGATGGGGGAACTAAGGTCCCACGTGCCTCCTAGCCAAAAAGCCAAAGCATAAAACAGAAGCAATATTGTAACAAATTCAATAAAAACTTTGAAAATGGTCCAGATTAAAAAAAAATCTAAAACAAACCAAACCGTTTACCAGCACACCTGAATTGAGGTGACTCAAAGGTGTTGGAATGCACAATGGAATTATTTTCCTGCAGAGCAGACTGCCCTTATTTAGTTAAAATGTATAGTTTGCTCAGATATTTGCACCTAGGAAATTGGTGGGAGAAACTTTGAGGCTGACATTAGGAATTTCAATCTTTATCATATTGATGATCACATAATACTGTAATCATTGCTCTCCTGGGCTCACAGGCAAGGCTGCTGACTGGTCGGTATAGTGCTTAGCAGTGTGTGTTGAATGACTGAGTGACTTTGGGTGAACTCAGTGTCTGTGATTTGATCCCTTTTGGCTGGAGCCCTCTATTGAGCTAAGGAGCTTGTTAAAATGACATTAAAACAAAACTCAAAACTCATTCTTGTTTTCAGTGATGTTCTTTAACCCAGGGAGAGAGTTTCTTCTTCAACACAGCAGTAATGTTTTGCGGTTACGTTAGAACAAAAATTTTCATTTAACTACTTGTGAGGCCATAGAAGGCCCAGTTCCTTAAACATCCATATTTTGGCTTTGCTAAATTAGTATCTATGGTCCATCTTGAATTAATTCTTCAGTTATATTTTGTGATTGTGTAAAGTAGGGATTGAGGGTTTTTTTGTTTGTTTAATACACATACCTAATAGTTCGAACACAATTTGTTGAAAGGTCTTTCTTTCCCTATTGAATAACTTTGGTGCCATGTGAAAATCAAATGACTGTATGTGTAGATCTACTTCTAGACTCTATATTCTCTTCCACTGATATATTTTTATATGCTTAGGTCAGTTCTACACTGTGTCAAATAGGATACTTTTCTAAGTCTTGAAATTAGTTACCTGTGTGTTACTGTAGTTTTATAAGAAGTCTTGAGATTCTTTGAACTTTGTTGCTTTTTCCCCCACAATTGTTTTGGCCACTGGTGGCACACTGTATTTTCCTAAGTGATTGCAGCAATATCTCCCCATTCCATATGCTGTTTTTTTCTGTGTGACTTTGACACTCCTCCTGCTGAGTACTAGGGTCTATATTCCCTCTGGAATCTGAGTGGAAGTTTGTGACTGCTGCAACAGAATACAGTGGAAGTAACACTGCATGGCTTTGGAGGCTAGGTCTTAAATGGTAATATAGCTTCTGCTGAGCCCTTGAGTTTCCTTACTCTCTTACTCCCTTTCTTGGGACAGGCAGCCTTGACCCTAGCCACCATGCTGTAAGGAAGCCCAAACTAACCCAGAGCAAGGCAGCCTGTATGTGTGAATGTAGTAGATGATTCCAGACGCCTGCTTGTAATTCTTCCAGCTGAAGCCACAGACATATGGAACAGGGATGAGCTGTATCCTGTCTGAATTCCTAATCCATAGAGTCTGGGAGTATAAAAGTGATTGTTTTGCTCTGTGAATGAAGTTTTGGGGTAATTTGTTGTACAGCCATAGTAACTGGAATACTACTCTAGGTCCTTTGTACTTCCATATAAATCTTAGAGCCAGCTTCTCAATTTCTAGATAAAAACTTACTTTTTGATTGAGATTGCAAGTCTGCAGTGTTTCCTCATTTACAGTGTAGAGTTCTTTTGCCTCTTTCACTAAATTTATTTTCCCACAGAGAGAGGGATTAGACATTTTGTTAACTCTTTCCCTTTTGGGACAAATAAATCACCCTCTGAGCCTCTACTTCTTAATTACAAAATGGAGTTAATAAATAGTACCTTGTTCTGTACCTACTTTGTTCTGTGGATTTAATTATATATACATGTTTATTCCTTAGCACATTGCCTGGTAAATAGTAACAGCTCAATTAAATGTTACCTCTTTTTCTTAATGTCTTTATTGGAGTATAATTGCTTTACAATGGTGTGTTAGTTTCTGCTTTATAACAAAGTGAATCAGTTATACATATACATATGTTCCCATATCTCTTTCCTCTTGCGTCCCCCTCCCTCCCACCCTCCCTATCCCACCTCTCTAGGTGGTCACAAAGCACCGAGCTGATCTCCCTGTGCTATGCGGCTGCTTCCCACTAGCTATCTGTTTTACACTTGGTAGTGTATATATGTCCATGCCACTCTCTCACTTATCCCAGCTTACCCTTCCCCCTTCCCGTGTCCTCAAGTCCATTCTCTAGTAGGTCTGTGTCTTTATTCCTGTCTTATCCCTAGGTTCTTCATGACATTTTTTTTCTTCTCTATCCTCTGCCACTAGGTTCATCAGTACCATTTTTTTAGACTCCATATATGTGAGTTAGCATACGGTATTTGTTTTTCTCTTTCTGACTTCACTCTGTATGACAGACTCTAGGTCCATCCACCTCACTACAAATAACTCAATTTCGTTTCTTTTTATGGCTGAGTAATATTCCATTGTGTATATGTGCCACATCTTCTTTATCCATTCATCTGTTGATGGACACTTAGGTTGCTTCCATGTCCTGGCTATTGTAAATAGTGCTGCAGTGAACATTGTGGTACATGTCTCTTTTTGAATTATGGTTTTCTCAGGGTTACCTCCTATCTTTATAATCACTGGAGAGACACATAGTACTGAGAATTTGTGGGCTATTGAATAGTATTGAGTTACTCCTGAAAAGGAGAGGCAAATGAAGAAAACCCATTTCATTTAGGATGCATTATTAAGTATTACTACCAGTTTTTCCTAGGTCCTTTTGGCTGTTTTTAAATTTCAGGGGAAAAACTGGAGTACTGATTCTAAATTGTCTAGGTTTTTTTCCTCTGAGATATTTGTTGATTTTAGTCTGATTTTCAAAAGTTGCTGGTCAGAATTTCAGAGTCAGTTTACTCTTTAAAATAGATTAATATTTAGATGTCCATATTACAACTGTCTCTGTTTCCTTAAAAATCTCTTAATCTAGGTTAGGAATGTTAGTGATTTATTGTAAAAGTAACTTTTCTTATTCAGTATCTTAATTCTTGTAGGAAACTTTGAGGGAAAATTTGAGTCACTGGATCTTGCAGAACTTGCTAAAAAGCAGCCATGGTGGCGCAAGCTGTTTGGGCAGGAATCTGGGCCTTCAGCTGAAAAGTATAGCGTGGCAACCCAGCTGTTAATTGGAGGTGTCACTGGATGGTAAGTGATGTAAAAATGTCCAGTATCTTTTTTTGCATGACTCAGTGTTGGGGTTATGGGAACCATCTCTTTTAACCAATGAAAATACATTGACTTGTGAAATTGATCATTTAATAAATAGTATACATCTAAACATAATGTTAAAGTGCTATTTAATGGTTACACATAGTGAGTATTTACTACATGTCAGGTACTATTTTAGATATTTATATAGGTATCTCATTTCCTTCTCACAGCTCTGAAATTGTTAGTTATTATCTATCCTCATTTAATAGAAACTAAGGCTTAGAAAGGTTTACTTGACCAGGGCCACATAGTAAGTGCTTTCTATCACTGTAGATCACGTTGCATCTTCTAGAATTATATATAAATGGAATTATACAGTATGTATCTTTTTTGTTTGGCTTCTTTCACTAATTTCGAGGTTCATCTGTGCTGTCGTGTGTATCACTAGTTCATTCCACGTATGGATGAACTAGTTTGTTTATCCATTCCCCTTTGATGAATATTGGTTTGTTTGCACTTTTGGGCTAAAATGCTGTTAACATTTGTGTACAAGTCTTTGTATGAACATATGCTTTCATTTCTTTGGGGTAAATATCTAGAAAGAGTTAGGCTGAGTCATAGTAGGTGAATGTCTTAACTTTTTAAGAACCTGCCAAGCAGTTTTCTAAAGTATTGTCTTACATCTTACATCTCCCCTAGCAGTGTATGAGGGTTCCAGTTTCTCTACCTCCGCACTAACACTTGGCATAATGTCTTTTTTTTTGAAGTATAATTGATTTACAGTGTTACATTAGTTTCAGATTGCAGTGTAGTGATTCAGTATTTTTGCAGATTATACTCCATTAAAAGTTATTATAAGATAATGGCTATACTTCCCTGTGCTATACAACATATCCTTGTTGCTTATCTATTTTATACATAGTAGTTTATAGTTCTTAATCCCCTACCCCTATCTTGCCCCTCCCCACTTCCCTCTGCCCACTGGTAAACACTAGTTTGTTTTATATATCTTTCAGTCTGTTTCTGGCATAATGTCCTTTTGATTACAACCATCCTAGTGGCTGTGAAGTGATATCTCATTGTATTTTTTTGTTTTTGTTTTTGTTTTTTTATTGTGGTACGCGGACCTCTCACTGCTGTGGCCTCTCCCGCCGCGGAGCACAGGCTCTAGACCCGCAGGCCCAGCGGCCATGGCTCACGGGCCCAGCCGCTCCGCGGCATGTGGGACCCTCCTGGACCGGGGCACGAACCTGTGTCCCCTGCATCGGCAGGCGGACTCTCAACCACTGCGCCACCAGGGAAGCCCTCATTGTGGTTTTAATTTACATTTTCCTGATGAATAATGATGTTGAGTATCTTTTCATGAGCTTATTTTTGCTATCCATATGTCTTTGGTGAGGTATCTGTTTAGATATTTTCTGCATATTTTTATTGGGGAGTTGGTTTTCTCTCACTACTGAGTTGTGAGAGTTCTTTATGTATTCTGGATACAAGTCTTAGATATGTGATTTGCAAATATAATCTTCTACTCTGTAGCTTATTATCTTGACAATGTCTTTCAAAGAACAGAAGTTCTTAATCTTGACATACAATTTATCAACTCTGTTTTATAGCTCTAGCTTTTTGAGTCATGTCTGACAATATTTGCCTAATCCAGGGTCACCAAGATTTTCTTCGATGTTTTCTTCTATATGATATATAGGTTCAGATTTTTCATTTAGTTCCATGATCCATTTTGATTTACTTATTGTATATGTTGTAAGGTAGGAATCCAAGGTCTTTTTTTTTGCATATGGATATCTGATTGTGCCCACATGATATGTTGAAAGACTATACTCCTCTACACTGAATTGCCTTTGTACTTATGGTGAAAATCAATTGACTATATGTCTTCTTTGTTAAACTGATTTGTCTGTCTTGGTGCTAATATCACACTGTTTTGATTACTGTAACTTTATAAGTCATGAATCAGGTAGTGTAAATCTTACAACTCTGTTGCTTTTCAGAGTTGATTTGACTGTTCTAGGTACTTAGCATTTTCATATGAATTTTAGAATCAGCTTGCTGCTGATTTCTACAAAAAGCCTGGTGAGATTTTGACTGGGATTGCATTGATCCATAAACATGGTTTATCTCTCCATTTGACTGTGCCGTGCAGCTTACAGGATCTTAGTTCCCCGACTAGGGATTGAACCCACACCCTCAACAGTGAAAGCTCTGAGTCCTAACCACTGGACTGCCAGGGAATTCCCTGTTTCGGTTTCTTTTAATTTCTCTCAACAATGCTTTGTAGGTAGGTCTTTCACATCTTATATCAGATTTATCGCTAAATATTTCATATTTTTGATGTTATTGTAAATGCTATTACTTTTAAATTTTCACTTTCTCATTGTGCATTGCTTATATTATAGAAATGCAATTGATTTTTGTATATTGATCCTGTATACTGCAATCTTGCCAAAGTCACTTACTAGTTCGCAGAGTTTGGGGGTCCCTAAGACTACCCTCATGTTTGATAATTCCCTAGGAGAATCCACAGAACCCACTGAGAGCTGGTATACTCATGGTCACGATTTTTTACAGCAAAAGGATACAGATTAAAATCAGCCAAGGGCTTCCCTGGTGGCACAGTGGTTAAGAATCTGCCTTCCAATGCAGGGGACACGGGTTTGAGCCCTGGTCTGGGAAGATCCCACATGCCGTGGAGCAGCTAAGCCCGTGCACCGCAACTACTAGAGAGAAGCCCGCGTGTTGCCATGAAAGATACCAAGGGCCGCAATGAAAGATCCCAAGGGCTGCAACTGAGACCCAACACAACCATAAATAAATAAATATTAAAAACAAAATCAGCCAAAGGAAGAGGCACATGGGGCAAAGTTCAGGAAAGTGGAGTCTGTATGTTTAAAATGGGTTTCTTGGGACTTCCCTGGTGGTCCAGTGGGTAAGACTGCGTTCCCAACGCAGGGGGCCCGGGTTTGATCCCTGATCGGGGAGCTAGATCCTGCATGCATGTCACAGCCAAGAAGTTCGCACCGCATGCTGCAACTAAGAGCCCACATGCTGCAACTAAGAAGTCTGCATGCCGCAACTAAAGATCCCACATGCTGCAACTAAACATGCTGCAACGAAGATTCCCAGTGCTGCAACTAAGACCTGGCGCAGCCAAGATAAATACATACGTACATACATAAATATTTTTTTAAAAACAGTTCTTTAAAATGGTTTCTTATAGGCAGCATATAGGTGGGTCTTCCTTTTTTTAATCCAATTTTACAATCTTTTCATTTTAATTAGGGTGCTTAGACTATTTACCTTTAAGTTTATTTTTGTTATCATTGGGTTTAAATTTACCATCTTGGTGTTCTGTTCTTTATTTTCTTTTGGATCAAATATATGTGTGTGTAATAAAAATAGGTCTACTGTGTATGTGTATATATATGTATATTTTTTAATTAAGGTGAAATTTACGTAACATGAAAGTGGCATTTAGTACATTCACACCTTTGTGTAACCACTGCCTCTCTCTAGGGTCAAAACATTTTCATCACTCCAAAATAAAACCCATCCCTGCTGAGCAGTTACTCCCCATTCTCCCCTCTCCCCAGCCCCTGGCAACCATCTGTCTGCTTTCTGTTTCTATGGATTTACCTATTCTGAATATTTTATATAAATAGAATCATACAATATGTGACCTTGTATGTCTGGCTGCTTTCACTGAGTATCATGTTTTGTTTTGTTTTGTTCTGTTTTTTTGGGACTGCACCGAGTGGCATGCAAGAACTTAGTTCCCCGACCTGGGATTGAACCTGTGCCCCCTGCAGTGGAAGCAGGGTGTCTTAACCACTGGACCGCCAGGGAAGCCTCCTGAGCATCGTGTTTTTGATGTTCATTCACGTTGCAGTGTGTGTCAGGACTTCTTTCCTTGTTATGGCTACATCTCGCCAACACTTATTATTTTCATTTAAAAAAACCATTTTAATATAGCCACCTTAGTGGGCATGACATGGGTGTGAAGTGGTGACTAACGATGTTGAGCATCTTTTCATGTGTTTGTTGGCCATCTGTACATCTGCTTTGGAGAAATTGAGTTGTTTGTCTTTCTGTTCTTGAGTTGTAAGAATTTTTTATATGTTTTTGATATTAGATTCTTACCAGACATGATTGCAGATATTTTCTTCTATTCTTTAAGTTGTCTTTCCACTTTCTTGATAATGTCCTTTGATGGACAAAAGTTTTTAATTTTTATGAAGTCCAGTTTATTCGTTCTTTTTTGTTCTTTCGTTGCTTGAATCACATATTTTTCATAATTCTGTGTCTCTTAATTGTGTAATTTTAATGGTTGCTTTAGGGTTTATAGGATGTATCTTTTACTTACCACAGTCTATCATCAATAGATATACCACTTCATGTAGCGTGTAATGCTCTTACAATAGTATACTTCTGGGACTTCCCTGGTGGTCCAGTGGTTAAGACTCTGCCTTCCAGTGCAGGGGGTGTAGGTACAGTCCCTGGTCAGGGAGCTAGGATCCCACATGCCTCACAGTCAAAAAACCAGAAACATAAAACAGAAGCAGTATTGTAACAAATTCAATAATGACTTCAAGAATGGTCCACATCAGGGCTTCCCTGGTGGTGCAGTGGTTGAGAGTCCACCTGCCGATGCAGGGGCACGGGTTCGTGCCCTGGTCCAGGAGGATCCCACGTGCCGTGGAGCGGCTGGGCCCATGAGCCATGGCCGCTGAGCCTGCGTGTCCGGAAAAAAAAAAAAAAAAAAAAAAAGAATGGTCCACATGAAACAAATCTTAAAAAAAAAAATAAAACAGTATACTTCCATTTTACCCTTGGTTTTCATTATCATACATTTAACCTTTACATTTTTTCATTAAATATTGAATTCTTATATTTTTAAATAATGAAAATGAAACCTTTTGTATTTACCCATATAGTTTATTTCTTGTACTCATCATGCTTTTGTGTGTATCCAGATTTCCATCTGGTATATTTTCCTCCACTTTTAACATTCTTTGTACTTTTGGGCTGCTGGTGATGATTTATTTTTCAGCTTTTGTATATCTGAGAAAGGTCTTCATTTCATCTTTGTTTTTTGAAAGATATTTTTACTGGGTATAGAATTCCAGAGTGACAGGGTTGTTTCTTCCCCCAGTACTTTAAGAATGTTCCATTATCTTTTGTCTTGCATTATTTTCTATGAGAAATGTGCTATCTCTGAATTTTATTCCTCTGTACCTAATATGTCCCTCCCCCCGCCTTTCAGGCTGCTTTTAAGATACTTATTATTTGTTTTGTGCTTTGAGTTCATTAAGCTGTTTGGATCTATCAATTTACAGTTTTCATCAAATTTAGAATATTTTCTCATTATTTATTCAAATATTTTCTATCCTTCAACAGTTCTAGTTAGACATATTATTACACTGCTTGAAATTTTCCTGTAGTTCACTGACACTGTTTATTTTTTTTAACTTTTTATTTTGGGATAACTATAGATTCACAGGTGCTTGTTAAAAATAATCCAGAGAGTCTCTGCACCACAGATACTGAGCCTGCGCTCTAGAGCCCGCATGCCACAACTACTGAAGCCTGCGTGCCTAGAGCCTGTGCTCTGCAACAAGAGAAGCCACCGCAGTGAGAAGCCTGCACCCCAGCAAAGAGTAGCCCCTGCTCGCCACCACTAGAGAAAGCCCGTGCGCAGTGACGAAGACCTAACACAGCCAAAAATAAATAAATCTTTAAAAATGCAAAAAAAAAGTCCAGAGAGCCCATCCTTCAGTTTTCCCCAGTGTATAACTAGTTCAATATTGCAGCCGTGTTCATGTATTTCTGTTTCATTTTGGTAGTTTTTATTGCTATGTCGTGTTTACTGATCTTTACTTCTACAGTATCTAAACTGCTGTTAGTTCCATCAAGTACAGTGTTCATCTCAGACATATAGTTTTCATCTGTAGAAGTTTGATTTGTATCCTTTTAAAATATGTTCCTTGTCCCTACTTATTATGTGGAATCTTTCCTCCAGCTTCTTGAACATGGAATACAATCATAATCACTTCTGATGTTTTTGTCAGCATTCTGTCACTTGTGCCATTTCTAGGTTGCTTTCAGTTGATTTCGTTTTTTATCATTATGGGTCTGTTTTCCTGCTTTGCCTGCCTGGTAGTTTTTAATGGGATGGCAGTATTGTGAATTTTACCTTATTGGGTGCTAAATATCTTTTTTATTCTTATATAATTGAGTCTTGATTCTTGTTCTGGGACACATTTACACATCGCTTTAAAAAAATTCCACATGTGTTCTGTACCTTACTCTATAGAACTAATTTTAAAGATAAAAGAGACTGAGAAGAAAATTGCTGGAGTTTATATATACTTCATTTTTTTCTCCCAAATTTCTTTGGAGGGGAAAAGCACGTTTATCCATGTTGGGTTTTTGAAAAAAAGATCGGAGAAATAAGAGCTAGTTGACGATCCAGTTGGTTGCCTTTATCATGAGTGAATCTTCGCTGCAAAATGTCAGTTAATGCCTTCATGTCAGGGACTTAGGGCCAGTGGATACAGGGTACAGGCAGTTTACTTCAGCTTATAATCACATTTAAGAACTGAGATGAGTCCTAATGGGTTATTTACTAGTCCTATCATTCCTCCAGTTTAGGAGTCCCTTCTGAGATATACCTAGCTTTTGTTTAAAAACATTTAAAATCCTTGTGAGGTCCTCCATGCAATGTTTTATTGATATTGATATATTTTTTCTCCTACTGAAGTGTACCAAGCAGTAGGTGGTAGAAAATGAGGGCAGAGAGGTAAAGGGAGACTGGATGTAAGTGTAGGGCTTTATAAGCCGTCTTCAGGGCAGAGTTTTCTGTCAAGAGCCATGTGCCGACCAGAGAAGATGGCACTGAGAGCCTGTCCCTTATCCCATGCGACCACTCTGGCCTCATACACAGTCATGTGTTTACTCGCTTCAGGGCTGCGCCCTCCTTGCCGCCGTTTCTCTTCCATATTGCTGACTGGAGTCTCTGCTTTATCCTTTCCTGTGTTGATCCATTCTCCGCAGTGTAGCCAGAGTCATCTTTTAAAAACACGGCTTGGGAGTTTAAGGGATTTGCTCAAGACCACAAAATGAAGTGAGTAGTAGAGCCAAGATCCGAGTCAGGGTCTTCGTGAGCTTGGAGCCTCTGCCGTTCCCTCGTTCTGGAGGGGACGGGCTTTATGCCTGGAGTAGGAAGGAGCTGGGCCATCCCAAGGTAAGCAGGCTCTGAATGTTGTTAGAAGTCCATGCTTGTGTTTGTCTGACAGCTTGTTAACTTGATTTTTGTAGGTGCACTGGTTTCATATTCCAGAAGGTTGGAAGGCTGGCTGCCACAGCTCTGGGAGGTGGATTTTTCCTGCTTCAGGTCTGTATGTGGAGTCTTTCCCCGGTTTCACGTACCATTTGAAATGCTAGTAATCTTTTGAGTCAGACTTCTTCAATTACTAGGTGGATTACAGTTTGTCACTTATAACATGGGGACACGTGCATATTCCTTAGCTCCCTTCCAGGGTTTTCAAGACCACTTGAAATATGAAGCAAGGGTGATTTCAGAAATCCCAGGTGTGATGCAAGTGCCCTGTGATATGATTTATTCTTAGACACAAAGTCGATGAGAGACATGAGGGCTAAATGACGCTGGCCCGTGGCGTGGGGTTTGTTTTGAACCACTGGCTGCTGGCTCCCTGAGGCTGTTCGTGTACAGTTGGTTTGCAAACCTGACTCCACATTGGAATCACCTGGGAATTTTATAGAACACTGATGCTTGGGGCCTGCCCCCCACCTCCGTCTGATTTCACGGGCAGTAGGCCTGCTTGTATATCGGAGTATTTTTAAAGTTGCAGGTGATTCTGAGGTGCAGTCAAGCTGGAGTGTCCGGATCCACAGCTCTTTGTCTCCTCTCGAAGGTAGCAGCCCTCGTTTTAGTGAGGTCGTCCCACGTTAGAATCACAATTTGAGTGAGTTTTCCAGATGCGTCAGGTGAAAATGAAGTGTGTGGAAGAGGCCAGAAGAGGCCCGCTTATGACCGGAGGGCCGGGGCGGGTGTGGTACAGCATCACTGCATCACAGACGCCCTCAAAACCCAATGCTTAAAATGACCATCTTTTATCATCTCAGTTTCTGTGCATCAGCAATTCGGGGAGGGGAGGGTGGGCGCTTGGGCTGGCAGCCTCAAGGGGTTCTAGCCAGAGGTGACTGGAGCTGGGTGAGCAGGGAGCTGGGGCGGGTCCAGGCCTCTCCCTCCCCTCCCTCACTCGGGTCTCAGCTCCTCCTGCGGCCTCAGTTCTCCAAGCGCCCTTGTTTCAGAAACATGGTGAAAGCTGCCCGCCCTTTTCTGCCCAAGCCTGGGAACTCCATAGCATCACTCTGGCAGCATCCTGCTTGTGACTAGCAAGGCACCAGCAGCTGCCCCCGGACCCGTTCCCTGCGTAGCTTCTTGGCTCCCTCCCTGTGGCTGTTAGCAGACAGGCCCCTCCTCACCCCTCCTGTTGCCTTCTGGGTTGCAGTCATCTTTCCTTCCTCGCACCCCTTCAGATGCAAGTGCAGTGACAGCTCTCTTGCACTAGACCCACAATCCTGTTCTGTCCCTGTGGTTTCCCTGAGTATCTTCATATTGCTTTGAAATGCCTTAATCTGAGTGCACCCTCTGTTTCTTTTGGGGGTTCTGACTGACAGAAGTAATGGGCATTAGAATAATCTCCAGGAAGGACCCTTGCACTGGGATTCTGGTATTGCTTGGGTCAGATGTGCAAGGAGTGCAGTGCAGGTAAGACATGGGGGTCTGTGCTGTGCACGCATGTGCCCTGTCACCAGGGTAGTCACGATGTTGGGAGATCAGGGGTGTGGTTTGACATAAGGATCCAGTTTCCTTTCATCCGGATTGTTGTCCCAGCAGCATTTAGTGAATAAGTCTTCCTTTTCTCAGTATTTGTACCGTTGCCTTTATCATACATCAAAGTTCATATATGTGTGGCTCTGACTCTCCTTCCTGTATCTGCTGAGCCTTGATAGTGGGCAAGACAAGTTCCTCCACGTATTCTTCAGGATCGTCGTGGCTGCTTTCGTACTTTTGCTTCTCCATCTAAACTTTACAACAGGCTTGTCAATTCCTTTCAAAGATTCTGTTTAAATTTTCATTGGGGGACTTCCCTGGCAGTCCAGTGGTTAAGACTCTGTCCGCGCTGCTATTGCAGGGGGCGTGGGTTCGATCCCTGGTTGGGGAACTAAGATCCCGTGTGCCGCACGGTGCACCCAGAAAGAGGGGAAAAAAAAGAGTAATAAGAAAAATGTTTGACTGGAATTGCATGGGAGCCATATAGATAAATTGGGGGAGAATTAATATCTTTTGTGCTCTTGTATCATCTAGCTGTGAACACAGGCTTCGTCTCCATTTAGTTAGGTCTGCCTTAATGTCTTTGCCTAGACTGCTCTTGTTTCTCCGTATAGATCTGGTCCATCTGTGGTGCAGTTTTATCCCCAGATGCATTGTAAGAGCTTCAGTTGCCCTTGTGCTTTTCCCCAGGCGCTCACCCTGAGCCCTAAAGCTGTCTCCCAGTTGGACTCCGAGTGATACAACTACTGATGTAGAACATCTTTTCATGTGTTTATTTACTGTCCAGATCTCCTTTTTGGTGAAGTATCTATTCAGGTCTTTTGTCCGCTTTTAAATTGGATTGTCTGTTTCTGTACTTTTTATTCTGTCCTATTAATCTGTGTGTCTTCTCCAATACCACACTGTCTTGATTGCTGTAAAATCAGGTAGTGTGATTCCTCCAACTCTGTTCTTTTTCAAAATCGTTTTGGCTGTTCTAGTTCCTTTGTCTTTTCATACACATTTTAGAACCAGCTTGTTTACATATCTGTAAAACATCTTGCTGGGATTGGGATTGCAATAACTCTGGCTTAATCATTTCTCTTTGAGTTCTTTCTTCAACAGACATTTTGTAGTTTTCAGTGTACAGATCCTATATGATTTTTGTTTAGATTTATACCTAGTATCCGATTATTTTGCAGCTATTGTAAAACCATAAATTTCATTTCCATTTCCAATTCAAATTGCTAGCATATAGAAATACAATTTATTTTGTGTGTTTATCTTGTAGTGTACGGCCTTGCTAAACTCGCTCTTTGTGTGTAGGAGTTTTTGTTTTTTGTTGGATTCTTTGAAATTATGTAGACAAACATGTCTACAAATAGTGACATTTTGACATCTTCCTTTCTAATCTGGACGCCTCTTACCTTATGTTCTTCCTTGTTGCACTATGACTTCATTTCCAGCACAGCGTTGAATAGGAACAGAGACAGTAGACATCCTTGCCTTTTTGTTAACATTGGATGAAAGTATTCAGTCTTTCACCAGTAAGTATGATTGACGTTAGCTGTATGTTTGTAGATGCTCTTTAGCAAGTTGAGGAAGTTCTCCCTGTTTCTGTTTTTCCAAGAGCTTTTACGGGAATGTGTGTGGAATTTTGTCAGAATGTGTCTGAGTCCTGCCTGAAGTCTGGGCCAGGTGATACCTTAGCAAATATGGGAACTACACGGCTCTGGGCTTCTCCAGTCAGATGCTCTTGTTTCCTTCAGAGCCCCCAAGTAGCTGTTCAGTGTACTTCGTCGTGTGGGAGAGACAGGGTGGAGTAACAGAATCGGAACTTGAATGTAGTGTACGATTTTTGAGATGCAGCTATATTGCTGCTACAAGTAGTCTGTTCTTTTTAGTACTGAGCAACATCTTGTGTAAACATGACACAACTTGCTTATTCATTCATGTGCGGATGGACATTTGCTTTATTTCCGGTAAAGCTGCTGTGACGAGCTGCCATTCTGGGTATAGCATAATGGCACGTGCAGTTTCAGTGTTGGCGGATGAAGCCGAACGGCTCTCCTAAAAGGCTGCTGGTAAACACTGAGTAAGGGTGTGATAGGAGTGTCCATTTCCCACATCCTTATCAACACTGTATATTTTCAGTGTTTTACTCATCTCCAATCTGATAAAGAAAGTATAGCAACTCAGTAATTTTAGTGTTAATTTCCTTGATTCCTTGTGAAGTTGAACTTCTCCCTTTTGTTGACCACTTTGTTTTGTGAGTTGCCTTTACCCGTTTTTCAAATGGGGTTTTTTCCTTACTGATCTCCAGAAGAACTTCACTTTTTATAAGTATTAATGTTTTGTTTGTTAGATATATTGCAGATATTTTCTCCAGCCTGGTTTGGGTGACTGATTAGTTGGTTGGTGCTGTTAACTAAAAGAGAGACTAGAGGGAGAGCAACTGACTAGACAGTGGAGAAGAATTTCAGTTTTAGATATTTTGAGCTATCCAGGGAGTTATGATTTATCATATCAGAAATTTGGAGGAGAGAAGTGATACACATGGAGGATTGACTGATGGCCTAATCAGTCTCTTCGTTCCCTGGGTAACACTAATCCATCAGGAAACTCCATGTGTGAATGAGTTTTATCCTGTTCGCACATTCTTTATGAAATGCTTCTCACTGAGTGTGTGTGTGTGCGTGCCTGCTGTCTTGAGCAAGGGAAGTAGCCATGTTCTGTAGGTATATTTGGATGTGCTTCTCCCTTACAAGAAATCGCTCATGAGAAATCTCTGTGATTTCTTTCTGAGCAGCAGTGATTACTACATGACACCCTTGCCCTGTTCACATTGTTGAGAAACTCAGGCTTATGTCGCCTTTAAGGTTTCTTTACCTTACATCTTGACTTCCAGTTCTGATTTTCATTTGCCATTTAATTTTTTTAAGCTCACTTGAAATTTTATCGAGATGGGTAAGAGTATAAATAAAGTAAAAGAATTGCCAGCAGTCACCGAAGGCCAGCGTGTGGATTTCCGTTGACAGGCATAGGGCCTCGCACATAGGGTGGGTGCTCAGTAGATGTGGAGTGAATGTCGTTGAAATACAAAAAACTGGACGGCAAATATCTCCAAAGATAGAAACTCAGAAGGATTTTTGGTAACATATTTCAGTGATTTATCCTGTGTTTCTCCTTTATTGCTGTCGTTTTTTAAACTAAAGCTTGCAAACCATACTGGCTACATCAAAGTGGACTGGAAGCGGGTAGAGCGGGACATGAAGAAAGCCAAGGAGCAGCTGAAGGTCCGCAAGGGCAGCCAGACACCTGCGGAGGTCAAAAGCAAAGCAGACGAGGTGAGACTTGTTTTGTTCCTGTGCAGTGTGTGAAGGGTGCAGACAACTTTGTGTGTAAAAAATGGGGTAGACACACCAATATGTCAGCCTCAGATGGAATATCCTCACCTCAGTGGCAATTTAAAAGGTTAAACCTACAAGGACCAAGGACCAGTAGGTTTGGTGACGTTTATTGCTGAGCGAGAGTGCACAGTGCTGCAGGCACATATGTGGATCGCGCATCCCTTGAAGAAGTTCTTGTTGGGATTGGAGCGGCACGTGAGGGGTGGGGGGGAAGATGTACCTTGTACAGCCACTCTGATCACTTTGAGTCAGTCACATTTTTGTCTCCATACACACACATCTCTGAAACGTCCAGAATGTGTAGCCCAGGGGTTGACGAGCTTTTTTTGTGAAGGGCCAGATGGTACCTGTTTTCAGCTTTGTAGGCATTGTGATCTCTGTCACTACTGAACTCCACTGTGTAGCGTGAAAACAGCCATAGACGATGGGTAGGCAGGTGGGTGTGGCTGCGTTGCAATGAAAGTTTATTTAAAAATAGGTGACGGGCTTCCCTGGTGGCGCAGTGGTTGAGAGTCCGCCTGCCGATGCAGGGGACGCGGGTTCGTGCCCCGGTCCGGGAGGATCCCACATGCCGCGGAGCGGCTGGGCCCGTGAGCCATGGCCGCTGAGCCTGCGCGTCCGGAGCCTGTGCTCCGCAGCGGGAGAGGCCGCAACAGTGAGAGGCCCGCGTACCGCAAAAAAAAAAATAAAAATAAATAAATAAATAAATAAAATAAAATAAAAATAGGTGACTGGCTGGATTTGGCCCACGGGCTATAGTTTGCTAACCTCTGATCTAAGGCATGAAATCAGGTCAGATTATACTGGAGGGACAGGAGAAGGGCTTCTTTTTTAAAAGGATGTATTTTGTTACTTCTTTATTACCTTTGGAAAAATGTCAAATGTCCCAAAGATATAAGTGCACTTAACCAGGGAGAAATAAACCGGGATCAAGGTGTCAGGAAGGTGCCTGGTTAAACCTACAAGGACCGAGAGAACAGGAGACAAGAAATATTAGCAAATGTTTGAAAGTTGGAAAGCACATGGATGAGTGGTAGATAACTTAGCAGAGGAACTTCCCTGGTCCGGTGGCTAAGACTCTGTGCTCCCAGTGCCGGGGGCCTGGGTTCAATCCCTGGTCAGGGAACTAGATCCCGCATGCCGCAACTAAGATCCCACATGCCGCAACTAAAGATCCCGCATGCCGCAACTAAAGATCCCGCATGCCGCAACTAACACCTGGTGCAGCCAAATAAATAAATATTGTTTTTAAAAAAATGACATTCCCTTTAAAGAAGAAAAAAAGAAAAAGACGATTCTTTGTGGTGGCGAGTGCTCAGCCAAAGGTGTCCATTGCCAGAATACTACTCAGCCATATAAAAGTATGACATTTTGCCATTTGCAGCAACATGGATGGACATAGAGATTATCATACTGAGTGAAGTAAGTCAGACAGAGAAAGACAAATATCATATGACATCACTTACATGTGGAATCTAAAATACGACACAAATGAATCTATGAAACAGAAGCAGACTCACAGACATAGAGAACAGAGTTGTGGTTGCCAAGGGGGAGGGAGGGAGGGACTGGGAGTGTGGGGTCAGCAGATGCAAACTAGTATCTATAGGATGGATACACAACAGGGTCCTACTGTAGAGCACAGGGAACTCTTCAATATCCTGGGATAAACCAGAATGGGAAAGAATAGGAAAAAGAACGCATATATATGTACAATGGAATCACTTTGCTGCACAGCAGAAATAAAGACAACATTGTAAATCAACTACATTTCAATGAAAAAATGAGCACATCTTACTTTATGTAAATTATACCTCAATAAAGTGTAGTAAGATGGAAAAGTTCGAAAAGAAGAACAAAAAACCCCTCAAATAAATAAATTTTTTATAAAGAAAGCTGTCCGTTGCCCAGAGTGGAACGTGGCATTTGTGCACTTAGATAAGTCCTTCCTCCTTCCTCCCTTCCATCCCTCCTCAAGCTCAAGGTTATGAAACTTACACTTTTTTCACTTCAAAAATTTTTTTTATTTTTCAGACATTTACAAAAGTAATACATGATTGTTGAAAACTTCTTTAATGATACAGGAATGTATATAATAAAAAGTATAAGGTTAATGTTTGATTAGAACCAACTGTTGCCTTACAGTTGCACTTATATAAAGTAACCAGAAGGTGTGGAACTGGTTCATCCCACACATGTTTGTAGTATCCCTCTCTGTGGCCTGGCCCTCTCACAGGCCCCAGGGAGAGTGGCTGGTCCCCCCTGAGAGCCCGTATTCATATTTGGGGAGCAGGAAATGAAAATGTTCGGGTTAGTGTTTAGCAGCAAGGAGGCCATTGGTCATTTCTGCGAGAACAGTTACAGTCGGGTGGTGGAGTTGAGAGCCAAGGTGTAGCAAGTTGAGGAATGAGTAAAGATGATGAATGAAAGAGGTTATGTCAGGAAATTGTATGATTTTTGTCATTCCCCCTGAGGGCAGATGACAAGAGACAATGCGTCAAATAGGGAAGTATAGTTCCAGCCAAGTCGGGGAGGAGTGAAGACACAGGCACAGTGGGAATGAGGGGGCTCGAGGGTCCCCGGAGGCTGGGTGGTGGCGTGGGAAAGGTCGGGGTGGGGTTAGGGAGATGAACCCCTGTACTTAAGTTCAGGAAACCAGTAGGCCAGGCTACAGGGTGTATTCCCCTCGTGAATACTTTTCTATGGTAGCACTTGGGAGAAAGTTCCCTCTGGGATGGAGGTCGATAGAGCACATGCATGGGAAGCTGTAGGAATGTGAGAAAATAAGGTTTCAGAGGAGCGTGTATGGATAGATGGACAGACGCGTGGGCGGGAGGAACGTGTGGACAGGTTTGGAGGAGACACCAGTTTACTGAATGTGGTGCCTTCTCTCTTTGCAAAGTCCCGTCTGAAAAGCATCCCTTGAATGTGATCACTGTGCGCTAGCACCCCGCCACTACCTTATCCAAAGACACGTCATCTCACCTTCTGATCTGCGTCCTGCTTCCTAATAATATCCTCAGCAAAGTAATCCACTGTGCTATCTTCTGTTCCTAGGTGGTGTCGTTTGTGAAGAAGAATGTTCTAGTGACTGGTGGATTTTTCGGAGGCTTTCTGCTTGGTATGGCGTCCTAAAGAGGATGACTTCACTTCCTTACTCCTGGTTTTTCCAGCCAGCGGCCTCTTCACTCCGTCATAGGATAGCAAAGCCTCTCCTCTTCGTCCTCCTCTCCCTCGCCTTCCTCCCTGCCGTGGCGTATCTGAATGGCTTCTGTAGGCATCTGTTGGTACAAGTGGATAATGGCCCCACCATGACCTTGACGGCAATGGAAGAGACAGTAGACATTAACTCTTCTCCCACCACACTCCCCCCTTGACTAATCTCTAGGTCAGCAAGAATATTCCTTTGTCCCCTATGTAAGATACTTACCAGAACATGGTACAAGATGGCTCACCATGGAGCGTGAGTGGACCCTCAGAGGTTGTCCCAAACTTGATTAGGAAAAGAAAAGCAAGCATATAAGATACCTTACTATGTCCTGCCTGGAAAGGAACTGAATACATTTGCCTGTAAGCATGAAAGATTTTGGTATCTTGGTGTCTACTTTCTTTTGTAGTAGATTTTAGGTTACAGAATGAGAACTACTTGTACTGGCTCTAATTATCCTGACAGAATGGGAGCATGCGCACTACAGTTGAAAAATCTGCATATGGAATGAACTTGCGCTAAAGATACATATGCTGAGCTGAAGGTATTGTGTTTGGTGGGAAGGTCTTTAGGGAAACCAACCAATAGATACATTTAGGATGGTCAGACTTAGTGAATCACTTAGAGGCATTGCGGTATTATCTACAGATGTTTTCCACCATACAGGATAATGCATCTCATGCTGGTTTCCAAAGGATTTATTTATGGTAAAATAAGTGACTTTAGGTGGAAGAGGGAAGAAGCTCTTGGATTTTTATTTAATAGAAAAGGTTTTAAGCTTTGAAATGTGAAATATTCTTTACCTCTTGTCAAACATCAGGGGTAGCCGTAGCTCCTCTGTGCCAGTTCTACTATTTATCCAGTTAGTATGAAATATATAACATTTGAACCAGAGTTTTTAAATGGTGGCATTCCAAGCATTAAGAATTGAGAACAGTAGCAATAGCAACAGCACATGTGAAATAAATTATTTCTATCATCAAAGGTAATCTGTCTCAGGAAGACCCCAACTCTTAGAATTTTTCTTTAAAATAAAAGTTTATAGATATATCCATGCTTAGAAACTTAACACATTTTTCTGTACTGGCCTTCTGTTGTACCATCTAGAATACCCACTGCAGGAAGGCAAGGCTTGTGTCTTCACCATCATATCCATGGAGCCAAGCACTTAATAAGTACTCAGTATCTGTTGAATATATGAATAATGAGCTCATAGGAAAGTATCTGGAAAAGGCACTGATCCACAGGATTGTGAGACTTTAGGAGTTCTGAAAATTTGGAAAACTTGGAATTAACTTCTTAAACTTGCAGGTGACCCCTTGCAAAATGTATGTTCTTAAGGCCTTCCTTTTAAAATGTTTGCCTTTTAACTTACCTTGGGAATGATGTATTGAATTTGGAAATTGTAGCTACTAGTGGATGTGTGGAATTTTTTAGAATTCATCCATTTGCATTCTTCTCCTTATGGTAGTATTTTAAGGCAACATTAAGTTTTGCTTGTAACATGTATGAATTATATACAAATCATAATGCTATGAGCCACATTGTTCCATATTTTTGTAGAAGAACTCAAATTTTTTTCACTTTTTATTATGGAAACATTCAAACATATATAAAAATACAGAAAATAGTACAATGACCCCCATGTGTCCATCAACCACCTATAATGATCATCAAATTACATCTTGTTTTATCAATTGTTTTGAAACAAATACCAAATGTGTCATTTTATTATATTTTGGTATGTGTCTGTAAAAGGTAAGAATTCATCTTAAAAATCATAAATGCAATACCCTATTATTATACCCATCTGACCCCACCCAGACCAGTGGAATGGGGGCTGCAGGTAGTGGGGTGGGGTGGCCTTTTTCCATCTCTTTTTCCTGTGATTATTGGTGATGACAAAGATTAGCAGGTTGCTCTAAGCTGCTTTGAGCGGGTTATAATAGATAATAGACTGAAGTAAGATTCTAGCTTCCACCTGAGGGACATGGTTGAGGTCAGTGTTACGGGTTGGCCTCATCCTATTGCAATCAGGATGGCTCTGAGTTCTGCCCGCTGAGTGGGGCCACCACAGGTGGAGGGGCAGAGTGGGTGCTGAGGTTGAACAGTGGCGGCGCTCTGGTGCTCATCACTGGTGGCATTTAGGAGAGCTCCCTCAGGCAGTTAGGGGAGCCTCTAAATGGAGGCCCTGTTGTCAGCAGCTTTGCTTCAGGTGGCGAAGTGAGAGGTTTCCCCCCAAAGAACAGCTGCCACCCCTTCACGCAAAACTGAGACACCAGGACCAGGCAACTTCACCCGTGGATGCTCTGTTTCCATGTGACTGGCAAGGCCTGTTTCACGATGCATTTTTCTCCAGTACCCAGAATCCAGTAACATGCTGTGCCTCCTTAGTGATGGGGGCTGAAGAGATGGCAGATTTTCTTTGACTGACGGAGGGATTAAGCGTTTCCAGTCGTCACTTTGACCGTGTTTGGGTTTTGGCTCCCCTTGTTCGGGGCTTCCCTGCCTGTAGTTGGGCCTGGACTGGAGAACCTCTGACAGCTGGTGGCCAGAGTGCCTATGAGGGTCTTCTCCCTTTTTTCTGCTCACCCCAGAGCCCCCATGTGCTCCTTCTGTCCCCTCCTGGCATCTCTGCCACTCTGGACCACCCTTTGACCCAGCGTCCCTCCTTGTGATGGACCAGGTGGGATGGGGAGCTATAAGCAAAGGAGGGGGAGAGGGATCAGGTCCAACAAGTAGACCCCCGTGTCTTCAGTCTTTCTAAGGCTCTGTATCCTCACTGCTAACACGGTTTGAGCGTGGGGACACCTCCGCCTGAGTGGCCCCATTGTCGTGAGTGTCACTGTCATTGACTTTCCTCCCGTTGCCCATCCGGGCCACTTCTCTGCTCCCGCCCCTCAGCCTCAGGACACTCATTAACAGGCTGACATTCCCCCCTGCTGGACCTGGCAGAACACAGGACATGACTAAAGGAGTGAATCTTACATAATTCTAGCTAACATACTCTTGGGGTGGGTGCTCATGGTTTTGAAATGCTTAACTACTGTGAAAATGTTCTCCCCATCATCCTTTTGTTTGACTTTTGCCGGAAAGATGGACGTGACTAATGGTTGAACTCTTATTTGGAAACCTACTTTTGTGTCGTTTGGGAGATGTAATAAGTTTCTGATTGAAAAAAATGGTGTAGGGATAGATTTTAAATATCTGAGAATCATTAATGTTTCACGATGAAACACTAGTTTCTTCTCTCAGGGAAATTTACTTAGGGCCAGTTTTGGACCCTGCAGGCAAAATTAGACTGCTGCCCTCTCTGCTCCCTCCACCAGCTTACCAGCTTCATTTCTTTGTCATGGTTCTAGGTCTGGGGGCTTCTTAATCACTTATACAATAGTAGTGTGAGCTCTTGGAGAACTGGGCAGAAAACATACCTTATTCTGGACCTGATTTCCCAGAAATCATACAGTGTGGCTTATGTCTCTGATATTTGATACTTAAGGAATCATGAATTTCAAGAGCACTATTTTTCTAGCGAAAACTGAGTGTTGCACTTTCTTCACGTTTTTAGAAAACTGTAAAGTCAGCTTATTGAAACACCAAAACTACCGTCCTGAATTTGAAATGGTCAGAAATGCCATTATGATGATTGAGAGCAGTGGTTTGCATCCTTGCTTGCCTGCCTGCCGTCCTGGAGACTCTGGTTGCACTGGTAGCGGCGGGGCAGCCTCAGGTGTTTGAGGAGCATCTAAGGTTGGGAACCACTGAACTACAGACTTGGAAGCTGGTGTAATAACGTCACAGTTCTGCTGAACAGGCCTTTAATACCTTTTAAATTAAGTGCCATACAATTTCAGATGCCTTCCAAGTACTGAACAGAGTATAATATTAGTTTATTAAATGTTATAGGAATTGTGTGGAGTGGATGCATGAGTGGCATGATGGCTGACCAGGGCCTTCTGTCATCAGTAGATGTAAAGCTCTTGGACAGAAGGTTGTGGGGTAATGGAGTGTTCATATGGTGCCACCATATCACCCCACAAATGAGCTCCCGTGACCAAGGGAAAACTACCTTTCCAGTGGAGAGGTCTGTCTCAGTCATTAGTTAACCAAGTGATGAAACAGCATCACTCAGAGCCCACTTACAGCAGGCTTTTAAGAAGTCTCTAAGTGGAGGATGAGGTCGTATTTCTCACCTTCCCAGCTCTCCCCTGAAGACTGAGATTCAGTGCTAATCATGGTCCCTAATAAATAAAAAACGGTTGGTGTTAAGCTTCTTTGATGTCTCTTTTATTTCCCTGTATGTCATAGTAATAGCTAAGAAGAAGAAGATTGAAATCAATGTCTGCTAATAGATGTTGAATGAAACTGAGACAGTTCTGAGTTTAAAGATAGGCAGGAATAATTGTTTGAAGCTTTAGGAGCCCTAAAGAAAGGAGTATACTTGGGGAAAAAATTAAAAGTCTGAAACTTGAGTAGTTAACTCAATAAAAATAATTTTGTAGTAAAGCACAGGAGAGCAATCTCTTTGATCATGTAGTGATTGCTAATGTGAATCCAACACCACTATCAATTGATACTTTTAAATGTAATTTAGATTTGTATATGATGTAAATGTAGTTATAAAATGTTTCATTAAATTTTCTACTATTAACACAAGACTTCAAATGATTTTATGAGAATATAGCGCTCTTTCCCTAGTTTGTGGACCAAACATCTCTTAAGGCAGCATTTCTCCAAGTCTCTGGAGAATGTTCCCCTCCCGAGAGATGCTATCTGCAAAACAGGTTTGCTGGTACAAGTTGGCAAGTATTGCATACAGTAGTCCTTTCCAAAGAATCATACTTCACATGAGCATATGAAAAGCTTTGAAGTCTTCACAGGAAAGAAACCTGTTTACTTCTGTGTAACCTAGCATTCCCAGACTTACCTTACCAGGCAAGCCTTTTTTCCACCTGTTACAGCAATTCCTAGAAATGCTGCTTTAAAGAACACGTGGTCCCAAAACAGTAATGGTATTTGAATATCAGGGACTATCTTAGTTTGTTCACAGCAATGTAGCTTCTCTCTAGCATGCTGGCAGAGGGAAGGAGGGATCCTCCCTGTTATGGACTGAATGTGGTTCCTCAAATTTCATGTTGAAATCCTAACCCCTAAGGTGATGGTATTTGGAGGTGGGGTCTTTGGAGGTGATGAAGTCATGAGTCTGTTTTATGAGGGCACTGATCCCTTCGTGAATGGGATTAGTGGCCTCATAAAATAGACCCCAGAGAGCTCCCTTGTCCCTTCTTCCATGTGAGGACATGGCAAGAAGACAGCCATTTATGAACCAGGAAGAGGGCCCTCACCAGACACTGAATCCGCCAGCACCTTAATCTTGGACTTGCTGCCTCCAGAACTTTGAGAAATAAATGTCTGTTGTTGAAGCCACCTGGTCTATGATCTTTTTGTCATAGCAAGCCGAATGGACTGAGACAAGGACCCATCAGAATTTGTTTCAGCTCTTGCTTAAGAACTCATCTTTTTTCTTTATTTGTGGGGGAGGGTAGAGTGATGGTGGTTCTAGCACCTACTTGAGGAAACCAAATGGCCCCTTCGATACTGTCCCCCCCTCAACCACTATGTGAAGTCACACAGCTTCAGCAGCCTTGTGTTAGCACCTTCAGGATCCACTGGAATAGGTTTTGATTATGAGGCTATAAAGTGTAGATAAACCACTTAAGAATTCTAGTTCTGTTGCTGCCTAACTTCCAAAGAATTTGTTTCCCCAGTTCTCTCCTGATGATAAATTAAGAGTCATTAAACATTCCAAGAATCATTTCTATGCCTTTCCTGCCACTCACTGAACAAATATTAAGTGGCTTCTGAGCTACGCACTATGGTGGGGGATGCAAAAGTGGAAAGAAATATTCTTACTGGCATCTGGAAGGACACTTTGCTCCAAATTATTGGACACTGACTGGGTCACACAGGTGAAGGGCTCAGTCCCACAAGACTGCACCCACTTGGGACTTCCCTGGTGGTCCAGTGGTTAAGAACCCGCCTTCCAATGCAAGGGATGCAGATTCAATCCCTGGGGGAACTAAGACCGTGTGCTGCAACTACTGAGCCTGCACGCTCCAGAGCTCGTGCACCACGTCTAGAGAGCCCGCAGGCCTCAACTGATGACTCTGTGCGCTCTAGAGCCTGCGTGCCGCAACGAAGATCCCTCATGCTGCAACTAAGACCCGATGCAGCCAAATAAATAAATAAATATTTTTAAAAAAATAAATTACTGTTTGTTTCTGTAAGTCACTGAGATGTGAGGTTATTTGTTGTGTGGGTAAAGTTGGTCAATACAGAAATCATCCAAAAGTGGCAATTTGAGGAAAGGTTGAATTTTACAAAAAAAAAAAAAAAAAAAAAAAAAAAGACTGCACCCACTTGTTCAGACACCTGTTCCAAGTCCAGGTTGTTACCTGTGCTTCTGACCAACTGGCTTTAAATCTGAGTTTCCCAACGACACCTCCTTGGGTTCAACTGATTTACTAGTGCAGCTCATAGAACTCAGAGGAACATTCACTTAAATGTTTACCAGTTTATTATATAGGATATTATAAAGGATATAGATGGACAACAGCCAGATGAAGAAGTGCGCAGGGTGAGGTCCAGCAGGGCCTGACACACAGGAGTTTCTGTCCCCATGGAACTGGGGTGTATCCACTCCTGACATGTGGATGCATTCTGGTTCACCAACCTGGAAGCTCTCTGAACCCCATCCTTTTGGGTTTTTATGGAGGCTTCATTACACAGTGTTAAAATAAAAACTCATGTATGCACCCAATATAGGATCACTCAAAAGCCCACGACGAAAGATAAGGAAAGACACTATATAATTATAAAAGGATCAACAGAAGAACAGGATATTACACTCATTAACATATATGCACCCAATATAGGAGCACCCAGATACATAAAGCAAATACTAGCAGACATAAAGGGAGAAATTGATGGGTATACAATAATAGTAGGAGACTTTAACACCCCACTCACATCTGTGACAGATCTTTGAGACAGAAAAATCAATAAGGCAAGAGAGATCCTAAATGATACAACAGAACAGACTTAATATTTTCAGGACATTACGTCCAAAAAAAGCAGACTACACATTCTTTTCAAGTGCACATGGAACATTCTCTAGGATTGACTACATACTAGGGCACAAAACAAGCCTCAACAAATTTAAGAATATAGAAAATATTTCAAGTATCTTTTCTGACCACAACAGCATGAAACTAGAAATCAACCACAGAAAAAGAAACGAGAAAAAAACAATTACATGGAGACTAAACAACATGCTACTAAAAAACCAATGGGTCAACAATGAAATCAAAGAAGAAATTAAAAAATACCTTAAGGCAAATGACTATGAAAACACAACCATACAAAATCTATGGGATGCAGCAAAAGCAGTTCTTAGGGGGAAGTTCACAGCAATACAGGCCTTTAAGAAACAAGAAAAATCTCAAACAAACAACCTAACCCACAACCTAAAAAAAATCAGAAAAAGAACAAACAAAACCTAAAGTCAGCAGAAGGAAGGATTTACTAAAGATCAGAGAGGAAATAAATAAAACAGAGATTTAAAAAACAATAGAAAAAAATCAATAAAACCAAGAGCTGGTTCTTTGAAAAGGTAAAGAAAATTGACAAACCTCTGGCCAGGCTCACCAAGAAGACAAGACAGAAGACTCAAACAAAATAAGAAATGAAAGAGGAGAAATCACAACTCATAACTCAGAAATACAAAAAACCATAAGGGTATACTATGAACAATTATATGCCAACAAATTTGACAACCCAGAAGAAATGGACAATTTTCTAGAAACATACAGCCCAAAAAAACGGAATCAAGAAGAAACAGATAATTTGAACAGACCAATCACTAGAAGTGAAATAGAATCTGTAATAAAACAAACAAACAAAAATCCCAACTCCCTACAAACAGAAGTCCAGGGCCAGATGGCTTCACAGGCAAATTCTACAAAACATACAAAGAAGAACTTATACTGATCCTTTTCAAATTCTTCCAAAAGACTGAAGAGGAAGGAACACTTGCAAAGACATTCTATGAAGCCACCATTACCCTGATACTGAAACTAGACAAAGACACTACCAGAAAAGAAAATTACAGGCCAATATCTCTGATGAATATAGACGCAAAAATTCTCAACAGAATATTAGCAAACTGAATCCAACAACACATAAAAAAGAGCATACACCACGACCGAGTTGGATTCATCCCACAGTCACAAGGATGGTCTGATATGTGCAAATCAATCAATGTGATACACCACATCAACAAAAGAAAAAAAACCCATAATCATCTCAATAGATGCAGAAAAAAACATGCAGTAAAATTCTACATCCGTTCATGATTAAAACTCTTACCAAAGTGGGTATAGAGGGAACATATCTCAACATAAGAAAAGCTATTTATGACAAACCCACACACAGCCAATCCAATACTCAATGGTGAAAAGCTGAAAGCCTTCCCATTAAAATCTGGAACAAGACAAGGAAGCCCACTCTTACTTCTCTTCAACATAGTATTGGAAGTCCTAGCCACAGCAACCAGACAAGAAAAAAATAAATAGAAGTTATTCAAATTGGTAGGGAAGAGGTAAAACTGTCATTATATGCAGATGACATGATACCATATATAGAAAACCCTAAAGACTCCACACAAAAACTACTAGAACTAATCAATGAATTCAGCAAGGTAGCGGGATACAAGAGTAACATACAGAAATTGGTTGCAGGGGCAGAGGGGTGGAGGAGGGAGCGGGGAAAAAAAAAAGAAATTGGCTGCATTTCTTAACACTAACAATGAAATATCAGAAAGGGAATGTAAACAAACAATCCATTTTAAAATTACATCAAAAAACAATACTTAGGAATAAACCTGACCAAGGAGGTGAAAGACATATGCTGAGAACTACAAAACATTAATAAAGGAAATTGAAGATGATTCAAAGAAATGGAAGGATATCCCATACTCTTGGATGGGAAGAATTAATATTGTTAAAGTGGCCATACTACCTGAAGCAATCTATAGATTTAACGTGATCCCTATCAAATTGCCCATTACATTTTTCACAGAACTAGAACAAATAATCCTAAAATTTATACGGAAGCACAAAAGACCCAGAATTGTCAAAGCAATCCTGAGGAAAAAGAACAAAGCAGGAGGCATAACCCTCCAGACTTCAGACAATACTACAAAGCTACAGTAATCAAAACAGTGTGGTATTGGCACAAAACAGACATATGGATCAATGGAACAGAACAGAGACCCCATAAATGAACAAACATACCTACAGTCAATTAATCTTTGGCAAAGGAGGCAAGAATATACAATGGGAAAAAGACAGTCTCTTCAGCAAGTGGTTTTGGGAAAGCTGGACAGCTGCATGTAAATGAATGAAGTTAGAACACACCATACACAAAAATAAACTCAAAATGGCTTAAAGACTTAAACATAAGACATGATACCATAAAACTCCTAGAAGAGATCATAGGCAAAACATTCTGACATAAATTGTACCAATGTTTTCTTAGGTTAGTCTCCCAAGGCAATAGAAATAAAAGCAAAAATAAACAAATGGGACCTAATCAAACTTATAAGCTTTTGTACAGCAAAGGAAACCATAAACAAAATGAAATACAACCTTTGGACTGAGAAAAATATTTGCAAATGATGCGACTGACAAGGGCTTAATTTCCAAAATATACAAACAGCTCATGCAACTCAATAACAAAAAAAAACCGAACCCAATCGAAAAATGGACAGAAGATCTAAATAGACATTTCTCCAAAGAAGACATAAATGGCCAATAGGCACATGAAAAGATGCTCAACACCGCTAATTATTAGAAAAATGCAAATCAAAACTACAATGAGGTACCAGCTCACACTGGTCAGAATGACCATCATTAAAAAGTCTACAAATAGCAGGGAAATCCCCGGCGTTCCAGTGGTTAGGACTCCGAGCTTTCACTGCTGAGGGCATAGGTTTGATCCCTGGTTGGGGAACTAACACCCTGCAAGCCGCAAAGTGCAGCCAAAAAAAAAAAAAAAGGCTACAAATAACAAATGCTGGAGAGGGTGTGGAGAAAAGGGAACCCTCCTACACTGTTGGTGGGAATGTAAATTGGTGCAGCCAGTATGGAAGTTCCTCAAAAAAACTAAAAGTAGAGCTACCATATGATCCAGCGATCCCACTCCTGGGCATATATCCGGAGAAAACTCTAATTCAAAAAGATACATGCACCCCTATGTTCCCAGCAGCACTGTTTACAATAGCCAAGACATGGAAGCAACCTAAATGTCCACTGACAGATGAATGGATAAAGAAGATGTGGTACATATATGTAACAGAATACTCCTCAGCCATATAAAAGAAGGAAATTTTGTCATTTGCAGCAACATGGATGGACCTAGAGATTATCATACTAAGTGAAGTAAGTCAGAAAGAGAAAGACAAATACCATATGATATCACTTATATGTGGAATCTAAAATATGACACAAATGAACATATCTACGAAACAGACTCACAGACATAGAGAACAGACTTGTGGTTGCCAAGGGGGAGAAGTGGGGGAAGGAAGGATTGGGAGTTTGGGATTAGTAGATGCAAAGTATTATATATAGAATGGATAAACAACAAGGCCCTAATTACTGTATAGCACAGGGAACTATATTCAATATCCTGTGATAAACCATAATGAAAAGAATATGAAAAAGAATATATACATGTATAACTGAATCACTTTGCTGTACAGCAGTAATTAACATTGTAAATGAACTATACTCCAATAAAATTTAAAAAAATAAAAAATAAAAAACTGAGACCAGCCTTGAAAACTCCATGAACAGACAAAACCAGTTTAGTCACGCAAGCAAGGCTTAATTGAGCTTATTTTAGGAGACTAACCTGACCTGGGTCATTTCTCGCTTATGCTTCTGGAAAGCATAAGCTAAACTGTTTCCTAAGGCTGATATGAGGTTAGCCACTGACCAATTCCCAACCATTTAAGAAAATTCTAATATTATAACCAATCACTGTGAAGAATAAGCAGTCACTGCCCTCATGCTGTGTAAGCTGCTTTATAACAGTGCCCCCCCCCACCCGGCCTCATTCCACGTGTTGGTCTGAGTGCTCTGTGTTCACAAACTCTTTTTGGTGTGTGCACAATAAACTTTCACTAATTACTACTTTGATGATTCATTGGCTTTCTGTTATTTTTCTGTGATCCTTTGACAAGTCACAATTGATTAAATCACTGGCCGTTGGTGATTGAACTCCAATATTCTCCAGCCTCTCACCCCTCTCCCCTCCCCTGGGGTCATGGTGGGGGTGGGAACTGAAAGTTCTAACCCTCTAACCCTGCAAGGTCGTTCCCCTGGCAACCAGCCCCCATCCTAAGGTTACCTAGGGACTTTCAAAAGTCTCATTAACATAACAGAAGCCACCTTTATTGCACTTATCACTTAGGAAATTCCAAGCGTTTTAGGACCACAGTGCCAGGAATGGAGACAAAAACCAAATATATATTTTGTTATAATGAAAGCAGCTCTTTTACCCCTTTCCTGTTTGCCCATTTCTGTTCCCCTGTAACCTTAAAAGAACCTAGTTATAGGAATGAGATCACCAGGCAGTTTAACCTAACTCCTGACTTATACTCTCCTGAATACACACCATGCCTTGTCTAACCTGTTGATTCTTTTCCTAGATAGAAGTAGTTAGCTCTCTACCCCCAATAGCCCCCCTAAGCAATCCTGCACGCAGATCACATGGGCAAGAAAACATCTGAAGAAAGTCAGCCAGTCTGCATGCAAAGGAGAATGATGCAGAATCCAACCTCCTTCCTTGACGATTCACTGAGATTCTTACCCCCTTTTTCCCTTTAAAAACTGTCATGGTGGGGCTTCCCTGGTGGGGCAGTGGTTAAGAATCTGCCTGCCAATGCAGGGGACACAGGTTTGAGCCCTGGTCGGGGAAGATCCCACATGCCACGGAGCAACTAAGCCCATGTGCCACAACTGCTGAGCCTGTGCTATAGAGTCCGCAAGCCACAACTACTGAGCCCACATGCCGCAACTCCTGAGCCCCTGTGCCTAGAGCCCGTGCTCCGCAACAAGAGAAGCCACCGCAATGAGAAGCCCGCGCACCGCAACGAGGAGTAGCCCCCGCTCGCCGCAACGCAGCCAAAAATAAATAAATTTTTTAATAAAACCAAAAAAACTGTCATGGCTGAGCAGAATCTTTGGGGTTGGTCTCTGGACACAAACCCACCTTCTCCCCAGAATGCCAGGTTTTCTGATTAAAGCACCTTTTCCACTGACACTTGCCTCTCCACTATTGGCTTTTGAGTGGCAAGCAGCCAAATCTGACTTCGGTAACAATAAGTCAACATATCACATATACCAAACCAAAAAGTTTCACTTAAAAGGTTTATTTTAGCAGCTCAGTTTTATCACATTCTACTTATTTGTTTAATATATTTATATTTGTTCTGCATAGATGGCATATTAACTTTTATAGTTGACTTTTTCATTTGATATTTGCTGCTACCTGGCCTGAAGAAAGAGTCAGGAGGATAGATAAAACCCGCGTGGTGGCAATGTGGGGCAGCAGTTTGCTTCTCAGCAGAACTTTACTGTCATGTGGGCTTCAGCGTCAGCTTCTCTTCCTCTTCTTTCTCAAATCCTGAACAGACGAGAGATCTTCCCTTGGGATATCGAGCACAACACTTACGCAGTTCTTGGATGACAGCCTGACACTTAGATTCCATGTAGTTGTTGGCTGAAAGACAGATAGACAGACCCTAGTCATGATCTCATAGGACTAGGGCACAGGGAGGTTTAGATCTGAGCTTCCCAGTCCTTTTCACTTTATCGTATCTACAGACCTGGAGGAAAGAGGATGCGCCCAAGTCCACTGAATTCTTTCTGATTTAGAGACCCATCAACAGGTTAATAAGGAAGTATGAGGTACAAAGTGGTCGAAAGGTATTTTTACATATAATTTCCTTTTCTTTAACGCTGATTCCTTACATGCCTTTTTCCAGGGCAGTGGTTTTTAACCTTTTGTGTGTGTGTGTGTGTGTGTGTGTGTGTGTGTGTGTGTGTGTGTGTGT